GGGGGGGTGGTGGCCGCCCCGCCGGGCGGTGGCAGGGAGGGAGGGGCTGTGGATGTAGGAACTTGAGGCGGTGCATCGCAGCTGCCCGTCCCTCGTCAGGCCCTCGCAGGAGGCGCGCTGCGCGGCGGGTGCTGGGGCGGGAGGAAGGCTGGAGCCGCGGCAGGGGGTCGAGGCGCTGCCTGACAGTGAGGGGCTGCGGCGGGGCCGCCCTTCGCCGCCGGCTGCTTTGAGAGGGGTGTGCGAGGCCTGTTTTCGGAAGCGCTCCCTGCAAAAAGCTCCACGTGAAGGCAGTATAAAGTATGGCTCCTCAGAATCTGTGAAAATTAAGACGTGGAAGTCGGGCTTTCCCTAAGAGCCCAGCTTTGTGGTTTAGCCAACCTCAGTGAAGAAACTTTCGAAGTGATGCTGAGTTTGCTTTTAACCTGGCCACTGGAGTCACAAATAAGTATTCTGAGGTGCTGAGAATAGCCAACGACCAGTCCTCAGTACCGAGGGAGAGGAGAGAGTGGGATAATTCTTCAGTTTCTGTTCCTGGGTACCAGGATTTGGGCACGTACTGGCTGACACTTCTAACGCGGGCTGAACCGCAGCCCGGGGGGGGTTCCCAGCCACCCCGCCTGTGCGTGGCCACGGTGTGACTCCCTGTTCCCTTCCTTCCTGAGCAGGAGGCCAAGGCAGGTGGGATGGGAGGGGAGAGCAGGGTTTGTCTTGGTGCTTTTGCCTGGGGGAGCTATGGGGCTGATGCGTGCTCAGGCTTTGTAGAGTTAAATGCATTGACTCTGGGCCTCCTGAGTGCTCAGGACTTGGCGAGTTTTTGTTCCTGTGCTGAGGAAGGTGCTGCTGCTCAAATGCCTTCATTCCCTGCTACTATCTCATCTGCTTCCATATTTTTTTCTTTCTGGTTCAATGTTTTGTCTGAAAAAATGTTTTTCTCTCTCTGTAGCTTGACATTTTTATTCCAGAGGCTGGGAGGAGGAATGAAGGCAAAGAAAAGGTAACGTAAGTGTTGCTGCTCTGGAAGCTATTTGATATATATCATTGCTTTTTGATCTTCCGCAAAAAGCAAAAAAGGCCCCGTGAAAAAAAAAATTAACATTCTCAAACTGGAAACTCGTTTACATTATAGCTGTTTATTTTCCGGTGTGTTCATTCTCCTGAGCCTCTCTCCCAACCCCCACAGGACTCCACTGTCCTGTACTTGCCACGTTGCCTCTGCAGGATGCTTTTTCTTCCTCATTTGCAGCTTTCTGTTCCAGTGCTGTGAGGAGTGGCTTGACTAATGACTGACCGATATGTTTTCCTGCCTTCCCCTCTTGTGAAGTCAGAGGTAACCATCCTCTTTGGATACCCACTGTCCCTGGGGACAAGCAGAGAGAAGTGGAGTGTCTGGTACTTGCGCTACTGCAGATCTTTCTGTGGTGGCTGAGGCATCACCCCTCTTCTGCCTGCTCCACCTCCCCGATACATGTCAGCACTCCCTTAGCAGAGCTTGTAGGACAAGATGTGTGTCCACATCTCAGCCTGGCATCTTACCTCTAGCCTTCATGGAACCGCAGGCTGGTGGCAGCTGGCAGAGGTGTGAGGGAGAGGCAGGCGCAGGCAGGAGTGTCTCTGGCTGCCACCAGGACTTGTGCACATTCACCCGTGAGCATCATCCTGGGAGAGCATCACTGTAATGCCACACATGGAGGGGCCCAGCTGGCAGTTTTGAAGGGAACCAGCTTCAGATTGATGTGGGTGGCTGCAAGTTTAAGAGAAACTTTTGTCCATCCTCAGGCATTGGAGCTAACAGCCAAAGCATGCTGTGTGAGGTTAAAAACTTCTAGACACTTGTTCATCTTCTAATCTCGGGTCTCTTTTGCTGTCAAAATCTAATTCTTTAGAATAGAAGAGACTTGGATTTCTAATGTAAAAAAGGTATTGATGGGATTTATATTTAATTATCCTTTTTTAAAAAACATAATGATTCAGTTTTACTGCATCTACAAGTCACTTGGAATAAGAATGGCTTTTAAAAATGTGGAAGTTTAGTATCCTGTGCCTTGACTCTCAGCCAGCAGTAGAAAGTCTTATCATATATTCTGTCATTATTACCTCCATCAAACAAAGTTTTGTCAGTTGTGAACTAGAGAGAGAAAAGTCCGTAATTTGACTGTAGAATCTGCTGAGGTGGAAAATATTTGTGTAACTGTCATATAATGCATGGGTGGAGGAAATGGGCGTTGTTACTATAGCTCGGTTACCAGTGCTGTCGTATGAAATGCTGTAATCCTGGCTACCAATTACAAATCAAGATAACTAGTGATATTCACTCCTCCAGAACAGGAAAAGCATTGTTGGAAATCCTGAAATGTTACATGCCATTAATTTCTGGAATAAGCCACATTGTATTTGCACTCTCGGGGAATAAGCAGGCCCTATGTAAACACATGTTGCTGCCAAAGGGCATTTTACCTGATAAATGACTGTAGACTAATCCAGTTAGATTGGACTCGAGTTGTGAGAAGCTGAAGTTCCCAAGAAGCCTTCCACCTTTCCACCTTCTCCTGCCCATAGGGATGACTGGCTGTTCAAACTTGACAGTTTTCTTTGGCCGGTCCGTATTCATTTTGATGAAAACGTGTTAGGACTTTGATAGGAAAATAGTGACTAGTGGCTTGACTTCATTCTGGCTCTTGTCTTGACATAAGGATGTTTTTCATGGTACAGGTCTCTGAAATTTAAAAAGTTTTTAATCTGAATGTGCACAAGTGGGGCATGGGGTTGAAGCTGACAATCTTGTCTTGAAATGAGGGGTACAATACCTTCTTTAAACCTGCCTATTTGTCATATCTTGTTTTTGTGTCCACCTCCTACATCCTGTCAGCAACTGGGCACCAGTGCAAGAGGTTTCTGTTCCTGGCACACATCAGCATCTCCTAACTTTAA